TTCTCATCTTTGCTCCGTAGAAAGTAATTTGATCATCTTTTGCAAGATAAAGAATTACCTCTCTTTCATGGCAACGAATATCAGCACGATAATTCGTTAACCAATCCATTCCAAGTATGAGATCGAAATCCTTCATTTCGATAACATAGGCCTCTAATGCCAAGATTTTTCCTCCGATATTAACACTAAGGTTCTCTACCTTAGAGCTTGTCTCTATTTTCCTTCCTGAGGCTAAACTTACCTCAAGAGGGTCAATAGTGTTAATAATTCTAACTCCAATTGCGTCTATACATCTCTTAGACACAAATGAATGCGTTGCTCCAGTATCGAATAAAGCAAAAATTGGCATATCATTTAAAATAATCATCCCAGACATGGTACCTGGGTTCTGCTCAGCTTCAACTTGATTGATGGCATAGACTTGGGCTTGTTGTCCTCCTCCCTGCTGCTGCCTTTCTGGACAAAACCTCATGCCATGACCAGGTTTTCGGCAATGGTAACATACATTTTGTCCAGCCAGACATTCTCCCAGGTGGTGCTTGCCACATTTCTCACAGTCTGGAACATTTCCTCCTTTCTGCTTCTGCTTATTCTTACGGTCCTTCTTGTGACCGTTCCACTTCCTCTTGTTCTTTCCATTCTTCTCTTCTTGGACTGGTACCAATGGAGCTGTTGGTACTGTTGGGATTTGTGATAATGGCTGTATCACAACTTGAGCATCTCCCCTTCTGAAACTAGCCTCGATCTCATGAGCCTTGGCCACAATATCAGCATAAGTTTGAATATTGTGTCCGGCCACATGATGACGAATCGAAGGTAACAGTCCATCTCGAAAACGTCTCGCCTTCTTAGCCTCTGTTTCAATCAGATTGGTTGCAAAGGATCCCAATCGAGTAAATTCTCGTTCATATTCATCAATTGAACGATTACCTTGGACTAAGGCCAGGAATTGGCGTTCCATCTCAGCCTTATAGTAGTCCGGGTAGTACTTGTCATTCATCATCTCCTTGAATTGGTCCCATGTGAGATTCTCCTTCTCACCAGGACGCATGCCCCAGTAAGAATTCCACCAGAGACGAGCATCTCCAGTCATCTGTAACTGAGCACAGAGAATACGATGTCTCTCTGAGCACTCAGTTATCTCGAAAATTGTCTCTAGGCCTTGAATCCATTCATCTACCAGACGAGGATCTCCTTGTCCGGAAAACTTTTCAGCATTGTAGCCACGGAACTGGGCTACTACTTCAGCCGATGTCATCTCTCTTTGAATCGCTCTTGGAGCCATCTGGGTTATTAATCCCATAATAACAATTATTTCAAGATAAGTCATTATTTCTATACGAGTTACTTAGTAACCCGATAATCTCAATTTCTCATAGGGGTAAATATGATATTACTTAACATCTTTGATTGAGCATCTTCTCTGATTTCTATAATTTGGATATCCGAATCTTATTGAGCATAGACTTAGTAATTTGCTTATATAAAAATTTTCATAAAAACTTTTAACAACACTTACCTGGTAGTCGGCGAGGTGTGAGTTTGGTGTGGTCGGTTTTCCTGAAACATTTCTTTCTTAAAACATAAACTTTTTAGTATACAGAGCTCTTAAAACTCTAGCTCTGATACCACCTGTAACACCCCGCTTATCAGAGTAAATTTTTCGCAACTTTTACTTCGAAAATACTTATATCTCTTTCGAAATCTTTTGCGACTATTTCGGGATGCTACTAAACCTTACATCTTGAAAATCCATTTATCTTTAACCTCTTGTCTAATAACTCTTTTAGACATAATTAAATAGATTTTCTTTAAACTTGCATTTAACCATATCCATCCTTCTCAAATTTATAAAAACTTCAAATCATAAATTCATTTAAGAAAATGCAAGTTCAATAGTCAATATGCGTAGCGGAATAATCGAAAGCGTGATTTATTATACAAACTTTATTAAAGACTTCATAAAAATCCTTGGAAATGCACAACCACCACCACAACGTCTCGAGCTCACACCTCCGGCCCGACCCTGTTTCCTGAAAAACACAATGGGGGTGAGTACGATCCTCTTGTACCCCGAAAAACACCCATACTAAAGTAAACAGCAATAATAATACAATATCATGATCTCCGGTATATAACTGGACTTAAACTCCTCCAGTATCTCAACTTCATCTCACCGATATCTCATCGGATACTTGTGCACAATCTAATGGATATTTCTCAGGCAACTCAACGGCCTCCATTAGAACTTAGGAAATACTCGTAAGGCAACTCATCAGCCTTCTTCCCAAGCGTATAAACTTAAACTTTTACATACCTCGGACATGATATCAATATTATACTCAATGTAATACCCAGTCTGGGTCCCCACCTTTCGTCGTTTGTAAATTCGTAAGTGTTGTTCTCGTATAGCAACCTCCTCAAGCTACATAAAAATATATAAACAAATATACTAAGTACTTATGCTCATTTACTCAATAAGATGCTCGGTTTTCTCAATTCATTCGGATAACTTATTCAAATCTTATAGAAATTTCAATAATCATATCATTTCTCAAATTAACTTTTCTCAATCTTTTACTCAATCAATCTCATCATATATCATATTCTCCAAATCATTCATATTTACTCATACTCATTTTTCACTTTTACATCTTGAAAGTGAAATTAAACTCAATCATATTCATCTTTTAAACATCACATCCAATCATGATATTAATATGCCATACTTAATACAATTTTTATAAAATTGTATGCTCAACATATTAAACCATCTTCATCAAATTTACTCATCACTCATATGAGAATAGATCATAAAAATCTCATTTTAATATCTTGATCATCTCATGAATATTCTTGCATATATATATACTCATCTTCACATATATGCCATCTCATATTCATAACTCATTCATTTCTCATCTTTAAATTATGAAATTTAACAGTCATAATCTCAACTTCTAAATAGACATGTCATCAAAATTTCATAATTTAATCATTCATATTCATCAAGTTATGAGAATTTAAAGTCATAGTGAACATAAACTTCATCTTACATGTTCATCTTCAAAAATTCATAACTTAAGTTATACTATGCCAAATCACTCAATTCTTGATCTCATGTACTCCTCTTTTACACAAGAATTATTCATTTAAATCATACTTTTCCAGCATATTCATATCTTCATGAAAATCTCATGCAAATCAACATCTCATTTCATTAAGCACATATATCACATAATTGATCTTTAACATCTTTAACTCATTTTATCAATTATAAACTCCAACTTCTACATCATGATATACATACTCATAAACATGTAAACTTATCATAAAAGCATGAACTCAAATATGAAACATTAAGATAAGTAAATTACCTCCTTCTAGGTGAAGTTAAAAACTTGATTCTTCACTCTAATGTCCTTACTTCTCCAAAGTTACTCCTTCTCACTCTCTCTCACAAACTCATATGACTTTAGTAATTATTTTGGTGTAAAAACTCTAAGGTTTAAGCCTCTATTTATAGGCACAAATTGGAGAAACATCCAAATAGAGTGATTAAATGATCATAATATAAAATTTAACTTATAAACTTAAATAATCTTTAAAATATCTTATGATTTACTTATTCATCCATCCAAAGCATATTTAAACATCAAAAATGGCCTTTGGTTAAAGTCACAATCGAATTCTCAATAATCCAATTGGACTGTCGGCAACACGACTCGTGTGGGGGAGTCACACGACTCGTGTGGCCTCACACGACTCGTGTGCCTTGCCACACGACTCGTGTGGCTTGCCGACACTTTTGCTCTTAATCATTCATCTTCTCACACGACTCGTGTACTATATCACACGACTCGTGTAGCTTCACACGACTCGTGTGGCTCATTACACGACTCGTGTCAAAATCCCGAGGCTAACTTTCATCATTTCTCCATCCCACACGACTCGTGTGCCACTCCACACGACTCGTGTGGCTCCACACGACTCGTGTGTCTCTTCACACGACTCGTGTGGCTTGTTCCTTGAAAATTCTTAATTTCGGTCCGATAACTCACTATCTTGGACTCGAAATCACTTATTTCTTGGAACAATAACTCATAATAACTGAGATAACTGAGAGGGATATTACACATTGTATGGTGACAAGCACATACTCTAGGCAGACGTTAACGTAAAATCAATCAAATGTTAACCCAAACCTGACAGTGAGTGTGGTAGATGCCAGCAGATGCTAGCTCTTAGGCCAGCAGTGGCACCAGCAGACAAGCAACCTTGAGGGACAATGGTTTCTTTTCTGCCCCTTTTTTCTTTTCTGATTTGAAGTTTTTTGAATTCATATTTATTTTCTAGATT